ATATTTTAACCTTGAGTAGTGCTAGTGATCATTTCCTGTACAGACCGTCCCATTTTTATGCTATGATATTAAGCTGTGAAAAGCTTTATTGTATGATCTAGCAACTTGTTGCAATTCGTTTTAGGCCATTATGCTTATATAATGACATTATCGGTGATTGTGTTTATGGGGAATGATTTAGAGGTACTGAAATTTAAATAAATGTGCTGATACTTTTGGGTGCATGATTTTTAGGTCTTCAGTTCTGTGAAGATAATATGAAGAGGGTCCTTTGAAACTGAATGCTAATGCGATTGAATTAACGGTTGCTTTTTTAGTGTCATTATCCGTCACACTTTTCAAGCTGTTGTTCAATGAATCCCACTGAAGAAGCCAAAGTGTCTCCTTTTAAATGTTTTCCCACCTTTGTTCTTCTGCTTCACTTGCTTTTCTATCAGTCTGGAAATGGATTGGGAGTCTCTGCTCAAATCAGAGGCTGAGAAAAACCTCTTCCAGAAGCTCAGACACCACTGCGGCTCGCATGACCTCATAGTCAAATTAACTTATGAACAGACTCTGCATTCTAGCAGTGCTATTATAAATCAAGCACTGGCATCCTCCTTCCTGTCTTCATCTCTGCTCTCTGTTTCCCTTTATCTTCATCTCTCTCACTCATTTTCAGCGGCGGTTTCTTGTGCTGGCCTGGTGCACAATAAGACCTCAAGAGAGAGAGTTTAACGTCATAGCTTGTCCCACTTTAGATCCTGAGGAGTGTTTCTTCGAAACGGAACGAAACACACATGCTGTTTTGTCTATGTTTGTGACCGAAAGACTGAATTAATCAGGAGATCAGTCTGTTACACAGTGGGTAGTGGTCTTTAGCAGATATTAAACACAATGCAGATGGTATCAATAACCATTACCCTGACATTTCCAGCCAGAGAGGTTGCATATAAATGCATGCTACAACATGGGACCACTCTTGGGGTCGTTGCTTTTAGCTTGGTTATTTTGCGGCTGTACTTGGGCAGCTGATAGATTAATTGAATTTATTAAGTGGATGTGAGGTCATTCTGATGGTCTGACCTGGTGTTAATCACTGAGTAATTGAAGGGTAATGATGGAGGCAGAGCTCAGCCTGTGGCTTCTCTCCAACTCATGAATTATTGACAGACCAAAATTCCAGATTACTTAAACGTCAAACGTTTACAGTTGACTATGCAATGTAATGCAAAGTTTTGCAGTCATTTGGCAAATTGTTATACATTTTATATGCAATTATACATTTTAATGTTTTAGATTTTTATAAATAAAGCGCACACATATACGGCTCTGGAAAAAAACTACTGGACTACTGCAGAATTAGCAGTTTCTCTTGATTTATTATTTACATGAATCTGAGTAAAATTAGCATTTTTTATTTATTCTACAGACTACTGGCAACATTTCAAATAAAAAGTCATTTAGAGCATTTATTTGCAGAAAATGACAACTGGTCAAAATAATAAAATAATGAAAAAACCTTGAATAATCCAAAGAAATCAAGTTTATATTCTTTTTTTCTTTTTTACCCAATACTCATGTTTTAATTTAAGAAGAGTTCAGAAATCAATACATTCCAGAGGTTTTCAGTGGCGTCCGGTCTGGAGATTGGGCTGGCCATGATAGGGTCTTGATCTGGTGGTCCTCCATCCACACCTTGGTTGGCCTGTCTTGGAGACGTTGCAGTCACCGTTCTTCTGGATTTAGTCTGTCTGTTTTTTTGTTTTTTTTTGTTCATGTAATCACAGATGAACTCAATGATGGTGAGATCAGATTTCTGTGTGGATCATACCGGCTGTTGTCAGGATCCTTGTGCGTATAAAAATCTCACTGTATTACAATTATGGCTAAAAGAATGTCTGGAAAAGAAGAAAATATCAGGCTTTTTTTTGTGTGTGAAAATACTAACGTGCTAAAGACTTTTGCACAGTACTGTGTGGGTATATACTGTGTGTATAATATATATATATATATATATATATACGTTTGTGTATATTATATGCAGCCATTGACTGCGTTTACATGCGCACATTTTTTTCTTTTATATGTGTGTTTACTAATATATATATATATATATATATACACATACTGTATGTATATACACTCACCGGCCACTTTATTAGGTACCCCATGCTAGTAACGGGTTGGACCCCCTTTTGCCTTCAGAACTGCCTCAATTCTTCGTGGCATAGATTCAACAAGGTGCTGGAAGCATTCCTCAGGGAGTTTGGTCCATATTGACATGATGGCATCACACAGTTGCCGCAGATTTGTCGGCTGCACATCCATGATGCGAATCTCCCGTTCCACCACATCCCAAAGATGCTCTATTGGGTTGAGATCTGGTGACTGTGGAGGCCATTTTAGTACAGTGAACTCATTGTCATGTTCAAGAAACCAATTTGAAATGATTAGAGCTTTGTGACATGGTGGAAGTAGCCATCAGAGGATGGGTACATGGTGGCCATAAAGGGATGGACATGGTCAGAAACAATGCTCAGGTAGGCCGTGTCATTTAAACGATGCCCAATTGGCACTAAGGGGCCTAAAGTGTGCCAGGAAAACATCCCCCACACCATTACACCACCACCACCAGCCTGCACAGTGGTAACAAGGCATGATGGTTCCATGTTCTCATTCTGTTTACGCCAAATTCTGACTCTAACATCTGAATGTCTCAACAGAAATCGAGACTCATCAGACCAGGCTAAATTTTTCCAGTCTTCAACTGTTCAATTTTGGTGAGCTCTTGCAAATTGTAGCCTCTTTTTCCTATTTGTAGTGGAGATGAGTGGTACCCGGTGGAGTCTTCTGCTGTTGTAGCCCATCCGCCTCAGGGTTGTGCGTGTTGTGGCTTCACAAATGCTTTGCTGCATACCTCGGTTGTAACGAGTGGTTATTTCAGTCACTGTTGCCCTTCTATCAGCTCGAACCAGTCTGGCCATTCTCCTCTGACCTCTGGCATCAACAAGGCATTTCCGCCCACAGAACTGCCGCTCACTGGATGTTTTTTCTTTTTCGGACCATTCTCTGTAAACCCTAGAGATGGTTGTGCGTGAAAATCCCAGTAGATTAGCAGTTTCTGAAATACTCAGACCAGCCCTTCTGGCACCAACAATCATGCCATGTTCAAAGTCACTCAAATCAACTTTCTTCCCCATACTGATGCTCGGTTTGAACTGCAGAAGATTGTCTTGACCATGTCTACATGCCTAAATGCACTGAGTTGCCGCCATGTGATTGGCTGCTTAGAAATTAAGTGTTAACGAGCAGTTGGACAGGTGTACCTAATAAAGTGGCCGGTGAGTGTATATGTGTGTGTATGTATATATATATATATATAAAATAAACGTACATATACAGATATTTACTGGCTCTGCAGCTATTGTAATATTCCTGTGTGTATATATATAATGAGCATATTCTGACTATTTCTTTTTATTTTTATTTTTTTTAAGCTTGTGGGGATGCAGGTTTCAATCCGGTCTGTTGTGTTTTGATCCCACCCAATCCCCCAGTTTCACGCTGTCCTTGACTCTTCTATAAAATGACATTTAAAAAAAAAAAAAAGAAGAAAAATCAGTAAATGGTAGGCAAGGACAGTGGAATAGAAGATAATCAGATGCAATATCCTACGTTTTAATTTCCAGTTCATTTTTCTTCCACTTTGATACTATCTGCAGAGTATCACTATTTTGGAAAAGAGCCCAGCTGTTTGATACAAAAATTCCCATAAAATCGTCCTTTCATCATAAAGCTGTAATTTGGTTTTTGGTGGTTGACAGCCTATTTGTAGCCCTTGCAAATCATACTTATTCAAAGTGGCTGTTTTGCATGAGCTTTTGTCATTGCATTTGATAGCATTCATGCAAACTGGCAACTCCCTGTGTGAGGTTTTCAAGATGAACCGTCAAGCTTCATTTGTCCTGCCTGATTCAGGATGTGCTCATGGACCTGTCACAAATTGAGGTCCTTTAACAGAAGGCTGGGCATTACTTTCGGTTAAAGGACAGCGACTGGTGTTTTTCAGCATGTGTATGGCATGAGACACCTGCAGGAATAGCTCTTTCTGTAAGCGTGGCACTCCACACAAAGCCAGATAATGTCACATAACAAAGAGATCGGCTCTTTGTAGACTTATTGCACTCTCGCAAGCACTGACCTTTACTGTATACACATAACGTCACACCTGCAGTGTGCTTGCAGGGAGATTGTGTAGATAGAGAGATGGGAGTTTATGATAGCTGTTTATTTTTACCTTGTTGCCATCAAAATCTGTGGGAAAAAATCTGCCATTTGCATTGCAGAGAGGCTCCCTTCCTCATGAACCAAATTGTGCGTGATTCATTTGTCATTCAACCGTGTGATAGTTTGAGTAAAGGGCTCTTGTAGTCACAATATATCAGCTCAAGAGTAGCTTAACAGATTTTTCTTCTAATTTCCCAGAAGCAGTTTCATTCACAAAGATGTTTTAATATAGTTCAGATGTTTTAAAATAGTTTCTGCTCTATTTGTGTATAATCTTTATATATATATACATATAAAAATAAACATACACACATATGTATATATATATATTAGTAGACAATAACAGTGATTAAGTGATTTTTTTTTGTATATGTGCATTATGCATAAAAATAAATGTAATGCCAAATTCCTGGATCATCTCTTTCTGTATTTCATCCGCCACTATAAGGGAGGGATAGATGAAAAGCTCTTCCTGTGCCACCATACAAATACTGCATAACAATGCACTAATTAGCATAACATATATTTCTCGTCCTTATTACGCACGCCCACCAAACCATCAGCAAGAAGCCTTTAATGGTGCCGTAGAACACTTCTCTGCATTTAACATGTCATCACTCCTCTGCCTGACTGAATTTCTCCTCCTGCTCTGACAGATCCTGCCAATCACGGATGAAATTATGGACATGTTTCGTTTGGCACCAGGGGAATGCAGAGGGGAAATTAGGATGAAGACAATAAAGGAATGGTCAGAGAATGAGGAGAGAGAAGAGAAGAGAGTGAAGGAAAAAGGGTGATGTCACTGCCTCTTGACGGCAGCCAATCAGAGGAGGGGAGAGGCAGCTAGGGAGCCAGGAGAGGGTGTGTTTTCCTCGCACTGCAGCATCAGCAGTGAACAGAGGCCACAATCAATCTGACAGAGCAGGAGACACAAGAACCTTGAGGGACAGATAAAACAACAGAGTTGCCAGAGGAGGACGGAAACCTGAAGCGGTTTCGAAGCTGCAGAGGTAAGAAGAGAGGCTTGTAAGCGAGAATGCCAATAGTATTTAGTGTCTGATGGATGTCAAACAGAATTGGCTTGTTTTCGCAGATTTTTCTTGTGGTTAATTGATCACACCTTTGAGATTTAAGGTGCTTTATGATGTAGCAGTTGGTTTGGTGTGTGGTCTAGCAAACTGGGGCTATTTCATTTAGAGATAAATGCAATGCTATAGTCATTTATGTATGTTTTAGTCATATCTAGTGTTACATTTAGGCCTTTAAGTATGAAAAAAATGAAATAATAATTTTTAAGACTTTAGTGTGTTGAAGGAGCCAACTGTGTTTTGATATATATTATTTTTATATACATTTATTTTTATTTTTTTTGTAATGTCAAATTGTCTCTCCTTGAGTTGCCCTGTCATAAACAGAAACAGTTCTCTGGTGGATTCGCAAACATCCCATGTGATATCAGCAACAGGCTCTTCTGTTTTTATTAATGCAGGACTGTGCACCCGTTCTTTGCATGTTTGTGTCCGTCTTCCTGCATGTGCTGGTCTGGTTGCATTTTGCAGTCTTATATTTACCTAGATGTTATGCAAACATTTGTTGTATTTAATGATTTACTTCAATGGCATCAATAGTTGGCTGTTGATGTTTCGTTTGGTACAGTTGTTAGTCTTATTTTTTTAGAGGCTTTAAATGCATGTTTTCTAAGTATCACGGTGTATCATTGTTAATAATTCATGCATTATCTATAAGGTTGGTCCTCCCTCCCCCGTCGTTTTGTTATAATTGTGTTAATCACCCATGAGAGCATTGTGGTTTTGAGAGTATTGGTGGTCCGCAGTGGTGTGATGGTGTGTGCGTTACAGAAAACATAATGATGCTTTGATGGCCCAGGCGGCAACAGCAAATATATGTGAGCAAGAGCATTGGGTGGGGCCTGCATTTATTTTCCGTCTCCTAAACGCAGACACCCTCACCTGGCAGCACACCAGCATGCTTGATTCAGGGTGGGTCTCGCTCACAGCGCTCAGGTTGCAAATTATTTGCTCTGTTAGCAAAGTTTATGGCATACTGTTCTACATAAACTCTTGTCATTAAATTAAAGCGATTTCTCCTTCATGCTTGGAGAAAAGATTTATTATTTATATTCATAATATACATTCATTATATTCATGGTACCCCATATAATATACTTTAAAGAATACCATGATTCTATCATGACATTGACCCTTTTTTTTACTGTTATACGACAAAAGTACTTTAGTACTACCATAGTACAGTGGTTATATTTATATTATAGGCCTATTACTACGATTACTATGATATTGCCATAAATTAAGTTCAAAAGTACTGTCGTAGTACGGTCTTACAGTGATTATTATATTCATAAACCATGTTATTTACATGTTATTATAACAGTACTTTTAAAGTACCTTGGAATAACATGATATTGTTGAAAAATATTTAATTTATCCTTACGAAAAAAAAGTACTGTGGAAGTACAAGGATTGCAATATTCATAAAACATGGTAATCATTGTACCATGGTAAAATCATGTTTCATGCTATCATGTTATTATTTAACCTAACATGTAAATACCATATTCAAAACCATGGTATTTATGTATTTCAAAGAATACCATGATTTATTTGTATAATTAAACATTTTCCTTTACCCTTACAAAGAAAGTTTAAATATATATTATATTATATTACATTACATATTCTATTCTAGTGCTGCTTGTGGTATAATGATGACCATATTCAAAACCATGGTATTTATGTGGTAAATTATGTGAATTTCAAGGTAATACCATAGAATAACCATGATTTTGTTGTATAATTAAATATTTTGATTTACCCTTACAAAAAGAGTGTTGTGCCAGTACTAGTTGAGTGATTTATTTTATATTATATTGTAATATAATATATGATATGATATTCAAAAAACAATTACCATTGTCAGTTTTATCAAATGTAGAGCTGCTTATGGTATAATGAAACCATGGTATTTATATGATATTTCAAGGTTCTTCAAAGAATACCATGCTAATACCATATTCTGTCGGTAGAGCTACTCATTGTGGGTTATCCTCAGTTTATCTCCCAGCAAAGGAATTTTGACTACTTGCCTGTCGCTGAGAGACAATGACTTGTGTCTTTCTATGATAAATCACTCGGAATTGATTATCGACAAGGTGTCTGTAGATTGCAAACAGCTGCTTAGGCCATGAGAGTGTGGAGCGATATCCATTCTCTGCTCCACATCCATCATACTGTAGGTGATCTTGCTTTTACTGTGCCATACCATCAGTCTGTGTGCACAGAAAAATATGATCTGCCGCTGCAAAATCTTCTCCTCGGAGGCAGAGGCTTTAATTGAGCTGTGGGCACAGATGGATGGACGAGCTGGATAGATTTAGGAGGGATGAAAGAAAGGAAAGAGGGTGGGGTCACGTTTGACAGGCGAAGCCGTTGCGTAGGCCAATAATATATGTGCACTTATGCTGTCTGAGGAGATCAACACAGAGAGAGAGAGAGAATGGGTGCAAGGTCAACGAGGGAAGGGACAGGATTGGAGCGGGGAGGGATCTATTAAAAGGACTACGAAAAAAAGCCATAATTCGTCTTTGATGTCCTTCGTTTTGACCTGCTGGACAGATTACATCTATTGCATTTCCACCTAATGTTTGAATCGTATCAATCCACCAGTCTTGACTTGTGATGCAGCATGGATTCAATAATCATACCTTGTTCCTTCATTTGGCCTGAGGAGATCTAGCCCTCTGACTGAGCCTGGTTTCTCTCGAGAAACCTGATGGAGTTTGGGTTCCATGTTACTGTGGCATTTGGCTTGCCTAGTTGGGTTAGGGTTTAAAGTCACCATGAAATCACAATTAAAACCACCATCTTATTTTTTATGGAATATTGCAGTGTTTATTATAAATGATTTATCTATGAACATTATTCTTTTTATTAAAATTCATGTGCATTTGTAATCTTTAATCAAAATAACTTCTCGACACTCTCGCAATGACATCTTTTCTCTGGTGACGTGTTTTTCGGTGTAAGGGCAGGACTAGAGGGGTTCTCGGGTCCTAAAATCTGTACCCGGCCCGAATCACTTCTTACCCGAACCCGACGTGCATAAATAAGTAAAAAATGTAAAGAAAAACCGAGAGTCTGACTCGACGGCATCTATTTTCGAACCCGACTGTACCCGAACGTTGACCCGTAGCATTGACGTGTCCACCGCCTGCAGCCCCGCAGTCAGGAAAAATCCCGGTGTCCTGCTGACTGATTTGGCCGCTGCTCCATTACTTTCATTTACTTTAGACTTATTTATACAGAGAGAACTTGAGATTATAAAAAGTGAGATTATAACATTGTCATAGAATTATTTGAAATAATAACATTTTGTTAAATGCCCCAAATTGTTTAAAAGAATTTGGGTCTTCTCGGGTCCATTCGGAAAAAAACCTATTTAATTGAAATTGCCCGAGACCCGAGGCCACTAATACTGAACCCGACCCGTGCCTGAGGCACTTGTCGAAGATTTGGACTGAACCCGGTCGGGTCTTGGGTTAGACCTCGGGTTTCTGGATCCAAGTGGACCCGTGAAGACCTCCAGGCGGGACTACCCGACTCGCATGTGATCACAGCAATAGCAAACAACAATGATCCAACGATCCAATCAAGTCCCGACGAACAGAATCCCATGTCCCACCCTACAATTTTTCTTGTTCAAGAAGCCATTTCACTTGGATATACGTCACAATTGGGAAGATAAGACTATTGCAACGTACGTTTCATGCCGACTTTAAAAGACACTTAATATTTAATAATATTATCGATTTGACTGCACCGAAACTATCGGATGAGAACAAAACTTGAACTGAAATGAGCTGGATGATGACACTATTGTCTTCCATAGAGCTGATTTCATAATTGACGAATTTTGCGACATTGATTAAACGGAATTGAATCAACATTGAACTGACTCCTGCTGAATAACGATACTATATAGACTTCCGTAACTGCTTATAGCTGAATTAAAACTTGTTTCATAATACAGTTATTGAACTGGACTGAACAAACACTGAGCTGAATAATGACACTATTGTCTTTTTAGAGCTGCTTTACAGTAGAAATGAAATTTGTCTCATATTTGATGTTTGTGTCATTGATTGTTATTTTCCTGTTTATAAGCTGCTATGAAACAATCTGTATTGTATAAAGCACTATATAAATTAAAGTGACTTGACCGCCTCTGTTTTGACATCCAAAACACCATCACAGTAGCATGCAAGAATAACACTAGAAGCGCAGCTCTCAGATGCAGAGCATCTGTTGTGGATGTGCCGGTTACAGAGGAGCTCTGGGGAGAAACAGCACAGCCCGCGAGTCTCCACAGCCACCTGTTATCGCCTCAGGGCCTCGGTGTCGCTGGCACATCCTGCTCCCGCATGTATGATGAGCAAGAAATCCCTCCACAACTCCCTGTTTTAAGTACCCATGCAGCGGCGCAAGCTTTGTAACCTCCTGCCGCAGTTCTGCTGACGGGTCGGCCTCCACAGAGAGACAGAAACATGAGTTAAAGCCGTTTACAGAGGCTGGCGAGGGTGCGGTTGGAACGGCTCTCTGCAGACAGGAGGGGAATGACAGTGGCAGGACGGAGACGGTCAAACGAGCCTGGAGGACGACAAGGAGGGGGCAGGAAGGATGCATTAGGCTGGTTTAAAAGAGCACATGATGACCAAACTGGCCTGTTAGAGCAAAATTAGTACTAATAGGTGGAAATGTGTCTAACACTGCATCCCTTGGAAACACCCCTGTATAAGTATATATATATATATATATATAAATATCGATTATTTTCCCATCCAGTTTTTTTGAGACACTGCATCCCTTGGAAACACCCCTGTATATATATATATATATACTTATACATACATACAGGGGTGTTTCCAAGGGATGCAGTGTCTCAAAAAAACTGGATGGGAAAATAATCAATATTA